TGGGAATTGGTCACACTGCAGTCCTTTGTTTCTCTCTCCTTTCAGGGTTTTGGACATGTGTGCACATATACCGTATGTGTGTACATGTTTTTCAAGCCACTGGGTCTGGGACTCTAATTCCACAGTAAGCCCTGTGAGATTCAGCTGCCTTAACCACCAGGCCACTGGCCGGCCCTGCTTTGACTTTAAATGTCTTAATTTATAGTTATCCCTCCATTATTTTCATTAAGTTTATTTATTAAATAAACAGATGGTACAGTTTATCTCCCTCGTACATGTTTTTCAGTTACCTGATTTTTATTCGTTGTCACTTCTAGGTTAATATTAATGAAAATGTGATACACATGCCTTCAGAGTCTTAAATTATTGTTGATAAAATGATCAGATAGGGCCGCTCCCATAATGCAGCAGTTAAGGGCCATGTGTAGGTGAGCGGGATCATACATGGCTGACTGTGTTCTGTTCCTGGATGACAGCTTGAAAAACATGCTGGATATGTATGCCCAAAATCTTTAGACTTTTTCATGTGTGCTTGCTGGAGAAAAACAGAGACAGAGAGAGGGAAACTGAGAAATCACCCTCTGGGGGGATGGCCATTCTGCAGTCCCTTGTTCCTTCTTCTCCATTCTCCTCTCTGGATTTGGGGCACACATACACACATACCCGGCATGTTTCTTAAACTGTCAGATCCAGGACTTGAACCTTGGAGTTGACCACATGGGATCTAGTGCCTTAACTACCATGCTGCCTGCTGGCCCCATGTGCCCCAAATCTTGAGAAGTTGGAGAAATGTTGGGAAAATGATTGCGGTGAGACAGCACCTCACTGGGGATTGCTTTTTGTCTCTTTCACTTCTCTCTGGCAAGCTCACATGCCCTCTGGCAATAAAAAAAATCAGATATTTTGGGACCTGAAAACTTATCACTAGAGCCTTTTAGATTGACACTGTATTAGTCTACTGTTGATATATTTAGAGATCCAAACCTGAGAGGAGGCTAAAATATCCTTGAGCTATTGTAGGACTTCCCACATCATTTCCAGGTACCTGAGAACAGTCTTTGATTTTAGACAGTACAGCAGCATACTCAACCTATAGAGGTGGCCCTTATTAATCTCTTTGTGGCCAGATGACTTATGTTAGCTGCATTATCCTTACAGAAAAATCATGATAAAAACACTCATGTAGAGCTTTTAATGGTGGAGAAACTCTTCGTGTACCAAATACTTTTTTTTTCTTTTAGGTTTTTGCCATAGGGTGCGGGCACTCACCAGAAACAGTGAGAGAGAAAGTGAGAAATGATCCCCCAGGGGGATAGCCACACTGCAATCCCTTGTCCTCTAGTCCTTTTGGGATTTGGGGCACACATGTTCAAGTGCCTGGTATGATTTTCAAGCCACCAGTTCTGGGACTTGAACTGCCATCAGCCATGTGGGAGTCTAGTGCCTTAATAACCATGCTACCTGCTAGTCCATCAAATAAATATTTTAAGCATAAAATATCTTAGTTTCCATTCAGCTAAGTGCTTAGGTTCTATACAAGTTAA